AAAATATTACATAAGAAACAAAAACAAGAATTGAGTATAATAATAGGTATGTAGTATTGTACAAAAAAATATAAAAAAAAGTAAATAAAACCCATGAATAAAAATAATTTTTATAACGTTTAAATTCTTAATATGCGCGGCACATTAATTAAAATTACAAAAAAAGTTTTGACATCTTTGTGAATATTTTTTTAATCTCTTACAGGTAATGACATCTTAAAGTATGTCCCAAGTAATGACGATTATTTACTCAGATTTTTGTACACAACATCTTTTGATGTGATAGAAGCTTTCAAGTTAGTAAGTATATTTCATAAGTTAATGATAGTAAAGCGCAATTTGAGATTTTTAATAGTAATGATGGCGTAATTGAGTGCACACATCTTTAACTCTTAGAACTTAAACTTTGTTTTAGATGAAATTGCATTATGAATTTATGTTAGAGTGTCCAGAATGGTTTACTAAAGACGGCCCCTTATCCAGAAAATACATAATAGAGAAAAACATTAGAGTTTTAACACCCTACAGAGATCGAGATGGTCGACAAATATACATAATCAAAACAGGTGCTTGCATAATTAGTAACTATTGATACTACATGCAATTATTATTACTATTATTTCCTCAGGAAATTTGGATCCCAGTAAAATGGAACTTTTTGATGTTGTCGGCATTGATGATTGCTGGGTGGAATTTTTAGCAGATGATCTCAATTTTAGACAAAAAGGACTGTGTGTTATTGTTGATATTGCTAATTTGACATGGAGAATGTATAAATGGTGTACACCGTACTTAACACGAACTTTTATGAGAAAAATTAATACATGGCCTATTAAAGAATATAGAATTCATGTAGTCAACACTAACTTTATAGCAAACAGCATTATCAAAATTATATGGCCTTTTGTTAACGAGCATCTAAAAAAGGTGGTAAGTTATATGTAACAATTTTTGTTTAAAATAGTGGTTTGTTCTGTATAAACGTCTAAAATAAAATTTGTTTTTATTAAATTTAAAACTAATAATTGCAGATTAAATTTCATTTTGATGATTGGGAGTCTCTTCATGAATATATTAACCCTAATGAATTACCACCTGAATATAGAGGATCAGCTGTAATAGACTACAAAGAGTGTTATAGAAATTTGTTTAAAAAAAACGATGAGATAGTTAATAACTTTAGAACATACAGAAATGTTATGTAACTAATTCTCTCATACTTACAACATAATAAAAGAAATATAAACAAAGATTTAAGGAGAAATTTAATTAAATCCCCTGATCGTCCAATATTTTTTGTGATACTTGATTGCTATTAAGTAAGACTGGATTTTTTACGTCATTGGAAATATACACATTACCTTCTTATTGTTAGCTTTTTGCATAATTACATTCAGTTAGTTTTAATCAATTAATTATGTTATTATAAATGGTTATTTTTTGACGAGAGGCAGTATAAACACATTTAATAAGATTAAATTTAACGGCTAATAACTCAATGGTTAGCAGTAACTCAGTTTTCTGCGCAATCCTGCAACGCATCCTGTGAGAGTTTCCTGATAAGTCAATAACATGATTTCGTGTTTATCAAGCGACGGTGAAAGTAAATCAAGCTCAGGATAAACTGGAATATACATATTTTATTATGTTGTAATACCGAAAACTGGTAAGCGAAAAAGTACCCAGCACATTTAGTTTTATCACGCTTTAACTCTTTCTTCTTTAACACATTTTTGCATTCCAAATCATGCACGCACATTCTAGTCTGGAATCATTGATTTATTTTTTTATGTTCTAGCGCTATCTGATTTTTAATTTTAAAAGTATGATCTTGCAAATGTTTCCTTAGGTGCAAAAATTTCTCATAAAGTCGGAGAATGCCTATCGAAAATTCTGTTATGGTTCTACCTCTTAGGCAATCGCTGGCCACTGTAGGAGATCCCAATGGATCATTTTCTCTAAGTGCGGAAAGGAAGAAACAAGCTGAAGAAGAATTAAACGAGACTCCTGAGAATTTGAAACAGGAACTGTTTGCTTTACGTCAAATGGTTCAAAGTAATCATATTAGAAAATACATAGAGAAATATGAAAAATAATTGGATTTGTTGCAGATGATACAAATTTAAATATACCAGATGACGATGCTTTTTTATTACGTTTCCTACGAGCTAGAAAATTTGACAGCAAAAAAGCTTTTCATATGGTAACTTATAAATTTGTTAATTTTTTTGTTATGCCAAAGCGGTTCTGGGATTTCAAACTAATCATTTTTAGCTGCAAAGATATTACCTCATGAAATTAAAATATCCTGAATTATTTTCCTGTCCCGTACCTTCAGAATGCGAAAAAGTTTTTAATTTGCAAGCGCAGAATATGCTGCAAGACAGAGACCAACTTGGCAGAAGAGTTTATGTAATAAGAATGGGTAATCTAATTATTTATGTAAAAATGAAAACTCATAATTGTTTTACAGATTATTTTGACTCAAATGTTATTACAATTGACGACATTTTTCGAACAAATGTTTTAGCTCTCGAGCAAATTGTCCGTGAACCGGAAACACAAGTCGCTGGAATTGTTTTAGTCCTCGACATGGCAGGGTTAAGTCTACAACATGCAAAATTTTTTACTCCATATTACGCAAAAAAAATGGTGGAATTAGTTCAAGAAACATTTCCTCTCAGATTTAAGGGCTTCCATATTGTCAATGAGCCTTTCTATTTCGATGCTGTGATGGCTGTACTTAAACCATTTGTTAAAGAGAAAATCAGAAAAAGAGTATTAGTTATAAACTTTTTCTCAAGTATATATTTTAGAAAGTGTTTTTTCAGATATTTTTACATGGTAGTGACACTAATGCTCTTCATGGTTTTATTTCAAATGAAATATTGCCTTCTGAATATGGCGGGAATGGGGGCACTTTTGATAACAAGTCCTGGTATATGAAACTACTTACCGAGGAAGAGTATTTTCAGGACTTGATGAAATATGGATACAAGATTAATAATTCTGAGATAGATGATTAAAATTGTGTAACTGGTAATGATGCCATAATAATAATAATAATCAACCTTGCAAATTTACAGCAAGAATTTTGATAATATAATTGCCATTAGAAAGCTCAAGGGTTTATATAAATAATTATTGCTCTTGTTATACTCCTAGTGACAGGATAAAAGTATTATGTTTATTTTGTTAATGCTTAGATGGCTCTGTTACCTATAAATTGTTAAGCTTGACATATTTTATGAAAATTAGTTTAATATAATTGTATAATAACACCCTTACATTGAGATAATAGAGAGTATTTTTGAAGTATATGGCGTTTACCATATTGATGTAAAGCCTCTTCCTTTTTTCCCTAACAGGTATTTCACGTTTGTATATTTTCTGAATTGAAGAAAAGTATATAGTTTTTCTGTTACTGTATTTCACGTTTGTATACAGGGTGCGCCAGAACTCGCGCCCCAGAAAAAAATTTCAAGTAAGGTAAGATACCAGGAACATGAAAAAAATGTTTAAAAAATTCTATCTGTCAAAAAATTTTGACATTTATTTTTTGACATTTGACATTTTTTATATCTATTTAATGATGCTGATGATCTTGTATATGTTTTTTTTACATTGATTTAGTAAAGAGAGAAAAATTTTGCCAATAAAAGCCACAAATAACATTGAACAGAGTTACAATTTTAGATACAGCTTCCTTGTTTCCTCTTTTAATAGCCTATAGCAAAAAAAAAGGAAAATTATTTTTCCAACAGAAATAGAGTCAAAGTGCAAACTTTAAACCCTCATAACTTCGAAATTTTTATAGATAGAATTTTTTTAACATTTTTTCCATGTTCCTAGTATCTGTCTTACCGTCTATGGCATTTTTCTCTGGGGTACGAGTTCTGGCGCACCCTGTATTTTCTGATTTAAAGAAAAGTCTAAAGTTTTTCTGTTACTGTTTTGGCTTATAATTAGTAAACAGATTTGTCTATATACATTTTGGCAACAGATCACGCTTTGTTGAGTCTAAAAGCTATCATAAATATTTCATTATTATGCATAAGCGTGAATTTGTTTTATTTACAAACGCGATATTACAACAACATACGAGTACTGAATTGGTTGTACTAAAATACTTGAAAAATAATAGATATTTATTTTTCTTCTTGTTGTGAAATTGGGACAATAACCAATATAATATTATTTTTATCATTGTACGTACCACTTGCTTGGCAAATAAAAAAATAAAATAACTTTCTGTTTCTGTAGTTTTAATTCTTTATTTTTGACACCATAATTAGAGTTTTTGCCTCCCAATAATGTCAGAGATTCAAAAATTCAGGTCTTGTAAATCCTACCTATTCTACGAGCCACCTACATTCTACTTTCTGTTTTCACAAATTCCATAACAATGAAACAATTTTTATTACGAAATAATTACGAATAATTTAGTGTTGTCAATATATTTTTTTGTCATCATCATCTACAGTCACCCGTTATTTTACTACACAGTGTACTGATTTTTAATCAAGTACACATAGTGTACATGCCAAAGTACGCATAAGAAATAGCAATACATGATAATCTAAATAGCAATACATGATAATAACCACCTCGCCTCAAAAGGCGGTAATCAGGGGGTACGTCCAACAATTCTAATGCCAGAAAAATCAATACTATCCCTCTCTCAAAACCTATACTGTCCTATATCGCAGACCCTATCCTACCGCACGGTAATCCGAGAAAACGTAATCGGTTAGTCTCGAATCTAGCTTATCAAAAGAGCAATAATGGTGTCTGACAGCTAAGACGCGTTTTTCTTTATCTTAGCTTCTCAGCTTCTTTGTGTGCAGGTGTTCTCTAATTAATCTAAGAAAATTAATCAGAGCAGCAAAAAGGTTTTCACCAGTTTTTCATTAATGGTCTAATTTTACAAGAAGAAGGAGCAATTTGTTACACTTCATTAGCTTTCTGTGTTGAAATTAAAACGAATTTGCTGCAGAGATTCTAATTTAGGTGCATGTAACCGAATTTTGCGTAGAATATGATGTAATTATATTTTTATAATAATTATAAAATAGAAAATACTAATTGCCAAATATTTTTTTATCAAATTTTATATGTATACCTTGAGTCTGTAATTAGGCAAACAGTAAAATTGGATTAAAATCAAACTACCAAGAAATTTTTTTTTGGTTATTTTTTTTTGCCTTATAGACATTTCAAATAAATCCATAATTGCACATAAACTAATAAGAAAAATGTTTTAATAAAAGTTTATGATCGATCTAGCAGTATTACTGAAATGGTTTTCATTAATTAAAAAAATCTTTAATTGTTATTTACTGCTTTCTGACAAGTTTTTACAAAGAGACTAGACAATTACATGAGAAACAACGATTTACATGAGCTACAAGAAAAATAATCATTGAGTTTACTAGTTAAAGTTTTAGAAACAAAGAACTGAAGTGTAAGGGTCGATTTCATAATAGAATTAAAATTAATTTTAAAAGAATATTGATCTAGAATGTGACGTTTTTATTAGCAAATTCATATCAACAATTACATTCCCTACAAAATTTAATTTAATAATTTTTTTAAACTCAAGAAAAAAACTGCTCCTAAGATAAGACAAGATAAACTAAACAATATTTCATAATAATATTTTCCGTAGCTAAGAAATAAAAGTAACATTATTAGAACTCATAAGAAAAAAGCTATTAATACACTTATACACATATTTTATGTAATTTTTATTTTCTATGCTAGCGCATAAATAAGTTCCTTTATTAATAATTTTCTTTAAGTTTCGGTATCTATCTAAGCAATGACGCAGCACACCTAGACTTTACAAACTACTACGTTAAAAGTTCGATATCTATGGCTGTAACGACAAAACTTTCCCGTCACAACGTAAATAATATCAACAAAATGCATCAGGACCACAAAGTTTGTTACCAAAATAATCTAAATTTGAAGAAACCAAGATTTCAATTAACTGATCAGAAGATGGGTAAAAGAATCATTCGATTCAACGATACGCTCCCAACCCTTGATAGGGATTAACTCCACATGAATCCTAACATTTAAGTGCGCTTGCGCCCTCTCAATGCTCGATGCCATTGAAATGCTCCGGGTGAGGAAGACTCCGGGTACCAGTGAGCTTACTCCGGTTACCGGAACCGGTCCGGTGCTAGGTCGAATCGATATCTTACGTGTATAGCAGGTTAGGTGGCAAGTAATTCACGTGCAGTGAAACGTTTAATTCTCACATGATAATAAAAATTCTTGATTTTGCCACCTCAACGGCCCTTAACCAAAAACCCCGCACGATATTTTTTCAAAAAAAATGTAAATTAGAGTAATACAGAATGACAAGAAAAACGGGTTATATATTTCGATAAGTGTGGAATATTATTTTAAATACTAAAGAAAAAACTGAAAGATGGATGAACAAAAATCGTCGGGACAAATGAAAAACCTTTGTTGGGTTTTCAGCAGTTTTCGCGATTCAGCACTCGAAAAGCTTTACCAGAGTTTCAGTGTGAGACAAAAGCGCGCTGGATTGGAATGTTTTCTGATAACAGCAATCCTCTTTGATATTTACATGTTGGTGGTTCCCAGCGACCAGGATTTTGTCATAATTGCAGTGATGGGCAGTTTTCTCATAATCAATTCTTTTCTACTTATCTGGTGTAAGAAGGGGTTCCAAAACAAGCCGTTGTGGACTGTAGTACCGCACATTGCTTTTCATATTGCCAACACTCAGATACTCGCCGGACTGTTTTTGAAGAAAAACGAAGTGACACCCAGAGATAGTCTAGGATGGTTTTTGCTTCTAACATACTTAATTTACGTCACATTACCTTTAAGACTGCCTTTTTGCGTTCTGCTTAGCATTGGAACGTTCACCTCTTACATCGTTTCATTGTGCGGATTGACCAAATCACAACTTCATTTCGTGGAGCAGGTAATTTGATGTTAACCATATAATTTTTAATTCCAATTGATTTTTTATTAACTGTAATAGACCATGTTGATAGAGTTTTTTTTTCAAAGTTCGAGTTTATGGTAGCACGCAACTCCATTTTACGGTTCTATAGAATTTATCCACCCTCGCTGTTTTTAGGAGGGCTTTTATATTGTCGATTTTATTAAATTGATTTGTTTGCTCCATTTAATAATTATTACGGCGTATTGTTTGGTTCTTTGCATGACACTGAGACTACAGAACTAGACTCTATATAAATTTTACGTCTAGACGTATTTTTTATTGATCGTGAACTTTATTATCTTGTCACTAGATTTATAATTCACTGAGAGTAGTGGCAGCTGATTACCCTTAAAAACGACTGCAAATAATAAAATATTGTCTTCGGAAGTTTTCGCCAATATTTTTCATGAAATCAGGGTGATTAATCTTTACACTAAAAAGAAATGGAAATTAAAGAAAATATATAATCAGCGTTGACAAAATATATAAAAAGTATCGGCATGCAATTTTTTGAAGAAAGCTTTTATACTTTTAACAAATTCAACGAATTCATATTACAATAATGGCGTAATTTAAATTATTTTATAAGTATTTTTTTGTATATCTGCAAATAACAAGTATAGTGGGGTTACAACTAGCACTTTTGGTGTTCCCTTTGTAAGGTTTAAGATTAATAACTTAATAGGATCACAATATCATAATTTATAGCTTTATAAGAGAAATTATTTAGATTTAGCATATAAGAAACTATGTTATATTAATGTTAATGTTATTTTAATAGTTTAATAAAAAAATTTACACTGTGTTAATTTTAAAACTTGCAATCGGCAATATTTCTGAAACTGAAAAAGTTATTGAGAATCACTCAAAACCGTTTTGGTAGTTCCTACAGGAAATCAAAATGATATGGTAAGTGACGCACCTCCACCCACCCTTGAAGCCATATCCACCCCAAGTTGAAAATTTTAAATGGCACGACCCTACGTGATACATCATTGGAAAGCTCATAACAAGCGCTTTTCAAAAATGTCATACAACAGCCTATTTGGTAAAGTCGTTTTCCAATTATTCAAAAACGAAGACTTTAAATTATGATTATTTTTAAGGGTGGGTGGAGGTGCATTACTTAACATGTAATTTTCATTCCCTCCCTAGGAACCACCAAAACGGTATTGAGTGATTCTCAATAACTTTTTTCAGTTGAGAGATATTGCCGATTGAAAGTTTAAAATTTGACACAGTGTATGTATTCTTATTAGAACGCCACTGCTATTTTTAACATTAATTTGTACTATACATAACCTTAAGTTCTACGTATAACAAA